AGCGAGAATGTTTTTGAAAGCATAATTGGCAGTCGTTTCTTGATCTATTTTTAGACCGACACGGGGTGAAATCGTTTTTTTCAAAAAAATCCGGATTTTTTACGTAGATCGAAAAACCGACCCCAGTACTTTCATAAACTCAKCAAATAGTGTCTACAGACCAAAAATGAAGGACTTTTATTTTTTGACTGTGGCCGCCCTGTGCTCGATATTTCTGGACAGTCGCTCTTAATGGAAACTGCCTCCAATCATCAGTTATATACCAAGCAACCGTCACAAGAAAGGACAACAACACTACCGCAACATACATMGGACTCACAGAAAACGAYTTCAAAACAAGATACAGAAGGTAGGGTGATAAATTGTGATAAATTGTGTAAATATAGACATTCTTTTATAAAAATAAACTTGAAACTTAAACTTAAACTTGAGAAACCACACCGCCTCATTCCGCCACGAACAACATAAAAACTCGACYGAACTCGGCAAACACATTTGGACTCTCAAGAACAATAATATCAGCTACTCCATTTTATGACGCGTCCTATCTTCAAGCTCTGCCTACAACAGCTCCAGCAAAAGATGTAACCTTTGCCTTAAAGAAAAATTTGTAATAATCTATCGACCGGAACTCTCATCATCAAATAAACGAAAYGAACTTGTATCTTCATGCCGCCACAGAAACGAAGCATTATTACGCAACAGCTAAACTGCTAAAGAATTGATGTTGGAATTGGAAAAGGCTTACGATGATTTCTGCAACGTGAACGAAGAGTACGAGATAGCTGTTATGGATGAATGTAATGCTGAACATCGAGTGGTGAATGGTGAGCATATTGTTACTTATAGAATGAATGTTAGACCGAGTTACAAAGAAGCTAGAAATGAGTTTATTCAAGCAAAACGCCATGTTGCAAATAGCCGGTACATGGGGAATGAAAATTACGCTACCTGTATGCGAGAAAGAGACATTTTTTGATTCCTTGTCACCTTTGTAAACAAAATTTACATGTGGTACCCGACTATGTTGCCTTACCAGAAAATGAACGGCTTGAAAGACATTATAACAATACACACAGAGTAGAACATGATAATTGCATCCCCAAGCTTACACAACTTTATCRTTCATTATTTAGATCATAATAAAGATAGCGAGTTCAACGATTACGAGAAGCATATAAACAAATCTGGGAAGATCATTGCTCGAAGCTTGTTTGCTTATTATGATTTACGCTATTATATAGATTTTGTAGCTAACTCTTATGAGCATTGTTGGCAGTTATATAACCATAAGCTATATAACCAAAAAGCATTAGAAGGATTTTCCCCTCAGGCTTTACAATATTTTTTACCATGTGACAATGAAAGTGTCCAAACTGCAGTAAATACTTTATCAGATCCTCTAGAAAAATTAACACAAGTTGCTGATGAGTTTAGAGATCAAATTGAACATGCTACAGGAAATAAAGAAAAAATAAAAATAAAATGTCGTATATAAAGTCTGGACGGAGAGCCAGCATACCTTTAAACAAAAACGATAGTAATTAAGTAAAAAATATGTTAAACATTACATTAACAGGCAATTTAACACAAACTAGTTTGCGCGTAGCATGTTTTCCCACAATCTCCTTGCACACATGACACAGTCATTACTAAAATTACTAGGACATTTTTCTATTCGTCTCTGTAAACCTATACATTTTATTCTTCACTTATATTTAGGCCCCTGGCGTGCAAGCTAGTTGCACGAGCTCCAGTTATTATAACCATGGCCGGTTATCATTTGTCATAGGACAATCTTTTGCCAAGTTTGATTATTGTAGATCAACATGCAAACAGATTATCAAATACGACACTTGAGTAGGAATCAATTAATTAATTAAGAAAAGTAGGTTTGTTTGCTTTGTGTGTTGTTTCTAGGATTACATGAATAGGCTCGACATTTTGGTTCCACATGTCACAAGGGAGAACAGAAACGCGTGTCAAAGTTAAACAGTATCAATTGATCGGTAAGCAAGAAACGTGTTCTCGGAACTAAAATGTCAGTCCTACTGGTTTGCTTAAGATTAAGGTCGACAGCTCAGCACGTGGAGTTGTTGGCCATCTGAGCAAATATTGTATTCACTTTTGACATCTCTAAAGCTTTTGTTCTCTGTAGAGTACTGCATAATCGGGTGTGTCAACAGTTTGTTGACGTCCCAACTTTAGTCTCAATAATCTCCTTCATTTTTGTTTCAAACTTAAATCCACTTCAAGTGGCACTTAGTTAAGTAAAGTATATAGCGACTCCTTTATGATCTATGCGATTTAGAGTTTAGTAAATCATAGAGATTTGGATTAGTTCAAATTCCTCCTAGGGAATTGGGAACTAGCTCATTGACTCCTCTGAGTCGCATTGACCAATCACAGGTAGCGTCAGGACATTATCGGCTTGACGTCACTTTCAATAGACTATAACTAATACTTAAGTGCTCGTAACACACAATGTAAGACAGACGAAGAAGATAAAGAGAAGAAGTAAGTACGAGACGAATAGAGCGAAGTAGAAATAACAGCACAATTAACAACCGCGTAAAAGAAGACAACCGAAGCGAATAAAAGACCAGTAAAGAAAATCAGTGAAAGGCTACATGTGTGGACGTGGGACGAGCTAGTCCACCCCATCCCAGTCATCAAGGCYAAATTGTTACCCTAGGAACCAATCAATGAAAGAATCGTTATAAGATTCCATGTTTGGCGTAATCAGAGATGGAAGACTAGTGACAGCATTCCCGGCCTATAAAGACCGAACACACAACGGGCTAATTAGGAAAGAACCTTTTGAAAAAGTGTATACTCTTGTCATTTGTCAACTAGTTATGATAATGCATGTAATTTATTGTCGACTAGTACAAAGAAACGTAATGTTTACAGTTAGTACTATGTTTACTTGTATGCATTTCTTTGTTTCATTTTGTATTTTTAACTAACACAAAGTCAAACAAACCTGGTTTGACGAGTGGGCTTATTGTTTATATTAAGTTCATTTCTAATACTCCCTCTGATTTTTCCTCCTAAGACTAAGTTGAGCCTTGTTTGACTAAAAGATTTTTCACCGTGTATCTAACATCGGGAAAAAACCTTACCTCTAAGTAAAACTTGTTCAAATCCTATTCATACTATGAAAACAAAAACTGTTAGAATGGCTGAAGCAGAAGAGAACGTAACAGCCCTTAATAAAGAATAAGTAGCAGTACTAAAAAAATCGTTTGAACAATTACAAACTACGCTGATAGAGCATACCGACGAAAATCATGGTGAATTGTTAGCAGTTAATGCTAACTTAAAAGAAAATATGACCAAACCTAATCCTATTCAAAAGAATACGTCAGGTCTTAGTAAAAGTCCGATCTTCTCAGGAGACGAAGCAGAAGCTTTAGAGTTTTTAGAGCAATTTAATTCTTTTGCCGATTTTCATTCATGGGACGAAAAACAAAGGCTTGCCGCCTTCCCAATTAGTTTAATTGATGTAGCGAGAACTTGGTACTTTACGCTTGACAAAACGTTTTCTACCTTTCAAGAGCTGTGTGGGTTGTTTAAGGAACGCTTTCTCTCTAGAAGCGATGATTGGGTTTTAAGACAAGAGCTTAGCTCTAGGAAACAGGCCAAATGAGAGTGTAGCAGATTTTAGTGCGGATATTTTTGTGACTTTGATTTCTATAGCACAGTTTGTTTTGAACTTAGAACACAAGCGAAGATCATCAACGCTTTGTTTAACTAATCCTTTTCTGAAGAGCCCTTTACTTTTTAAGGCTCTCGAGTTTTTAAGGCTCGTATGCTAAATTATTCTTATCCTCAGTACTTTTACTGGAAACTCGTCATAAACTGGTTTCTATAATATATTCTAGATTTATGCTAATTTTCTCTATAAATAAGGATCAGTTTTAGCTAGAAAGAGAGAACACCGAGAGAGCATGAAGAGACTAGTTCAGATACAACTAGAGTTGTGCAGCCTAGAAGAAACCTTGCAAAACTACTGAGCGTCGAATAAAGATCCTGCGTACCAGAACTACTTGTGACTCTTCTTCTAGACCCACGACAATTTGGTGGTGAACCGGGTACAGAAGGTAAGCCAATGGTGTTTTGTTGTAGAAGCATTTAATGTAAGCGTGTCAGATTCTTTGTTTCCTCGTTTTTTTTGTAATCCTTACCAGATATTCGTTTGTGCCGTAACAACCCTTTAATCGTTTGTACATATCCCTGTGTTCGTATTGAGTTTCTTTGTAAGGGATTAAAACTATGTGGTAGAGTGCGATAGTATTCGACAAGGAATCAAAAGCCCATATAGAAGAACGCCATAATGACAGATGTTACGGAAAATCGAGATTCGTATTACAACCAGAGGAAGTCTTTTACTTAGTGAAAGCTGTGATAAAGGAAGCTCAAGAAGTAGGGAAAATAGACRCGATATATTACAAGGGCTTATCGGYAACATWTATTTYAATATAATTATAATTYAAATTAWYATTTTATAATTGACCTGCAGGGGCAGCAGTTCCCAACTGCATTAATTCTTGTATATATTTATCACTTGATAGCTGTTATAGTTTATTACGTAAGATGAATGTTCTGCAGGGGGCAGCATTCTATCACTGTATTCCTATTATTCATGTATTATTCCCGCACCTTTACTGGGCAGAACACTCTGCATTTGTAAAAATTGATAATTAATTGTTTATATCAATAAACGGCTGGGGTTTATTTCCCCAAGCCATTTTACGCCAGTAGAAGGTGTGTATGTTTTTTCCTTTGCCCAGCAAACGCAGCTCAGGCAATGCAGTGTCTTTCCGTATTCATTGATACTGAGATAAAGACATAAAATATCTTTTTTTTTGTTTGTTCTCTCTTTAAGCCATGAGCAGGAAGGAACACCCCAAGGGCCGGTCTGGGCAGCCAAATACCTACCGTGCTGTTGTAACCCAATTCACGAAGTGTGCTTAGTGTTCACCTATAACAGAGGGAATGCCGCCGACGGGTTGCGGTGCCCCCTGTGCGGCGCTCTGTTTCATATCTTATCCACACATATTCCACCAGAAAACAACACGGGGCCAACATATGCAGTATTCTTTCAATTTGTGCGGCCCAACCTCAGCGCCATTAAGGCGTACTGGGTAGAAGCAGCTGCCCTTGCATCATTAGGGATCTCTATAGGCGGCCCATACTTTGACTGATCGTAGCATTGTGTTTATATGCTTTATGTTGCTGACTTTGACTAACAGAGAGATTGTGTGGTGAATTTTTGAGGCGTATCAACAAACAAACAAAATAATAATACAAATACAAAAAAAATGTATCAAAAAAATAAACAAGTGAATGATGGAGTGATTGGATGCACTAACAACTCAACAGGACATGACCGCTTTAAAAAATATCTTTTTTTTTACCTTTTAAATCCTGTTTAAATGAAGAAATTTGTTTTTGCGTAGAGGAATGACGGAGATAGCTAATGGGTAGTTGATTTTATAATGCTAGGTCAAACAAACCCAAAACTATCTCCTCACTGAAGGCAAACTTTTTCACTAAAGTATTATTCCACTGTTACAGCTCAATTTCTTGAACGAATTCATCAGAGCCACACATCAACGCTCAGTGAAAAACAAAAGACTTGAAGAAAAATATAATTTAATGTGTAGTAAAGAACATGGCATTAGCGAATTNAGTGATTATTGGACCTTTAAAGAGTATTCTTAGGAAGTTTCAGCTGAATCCAAGTTTAAGCGATTTTCGTCATAGTAGCACTTTAAGCCATGAACTGCACCATTTGCAAGAAGGAGCACCCCAAGGGCGGAGTAGATATGAAATAGCGGTTCTGCGCCATGAGCAGCGAGGAGGCGGCGGAGCATTGGCAACAAAGAAAGGATAGACGAGATTGAAAGGACCAAGGGAAGAAAGGTTACTCTTGATGAACTGATCCATTGGGAAGCAGACGAGTCCTTTTGGCAAAAGGCCTTTCAGAAAGCCTGGTTTCGTATGCAAAGAGAACTTCCCTTACCAACATTATTGCAAGCTTTTGGATATTTCATGGAGTATGAACATGGTTTGGAAAACTCTGAGTACTTAAAACCAGTTCTGAGAAACTACCTCCACGAGCTATACGATAATAACGACAGTGGAAAAATGATAAAACTGATGCAAGAAATAAGCCACGTTAAGAGTCAGGCC